TGAATCGTGTGATCTCTCAGGGTTAAACGTGTGTCAGGGAGTTGCACTAACTGGTGTGGGAGTCAGTTGTCATTAAAAATTTGGCCTACAGACTTTTTTTTTTTTTGGTAAATTCTTTTGCTATAGAATAACTGGAAGATGATTGAGGGCACGTCAGAAACAGAGCCACTAGGTACTGACCGGGCCCCGAGTCCCCTATGGAGTCTTTGTAGGCGGAACTCCGGAGGGGCCTCTGGGCAGGCCGCAAAGTCATATGTAAGTGACTGTGGGATGGATTCAGAGGTGAAATAACTTTCTGCAAAACAGCTAGCTTTTAAAATACGTATTACTTCTTCACATGCAGTTTTTCTGTCACATAGTTCACTGAGCTGCTGCAGTTATGGGTATGCATTGCAGCTGTCAGTGAAGTTAGCAAACCAAGACGTCTCATTAAGCATCGCTTCTCCCTTTCTGTCCCTTTATGACACTTAAGATTTGTACAATGATATTTCTTTCCTGTATTTCTGAGTAGTTACAGATTTTATATTCCTTGCCCATTTTTGTGAATGCCTATTGTGTACTGTTGTCAAGTGATCTGTTCTGGGTGATAAATGACATGGGAATAATGCTTTTTTTAGAATTTCACTATTTACTTGTTTTCTAGAATATTAAACCTTACTTTAACTTTCTCTCATATGCATTTTTTAATCTCTTCTAGGAGAGGTAACTTAAAGACAAAAAATATTTGAAATTAACTTCTGGTTTATAAACATTTTCCTAAAATAGTATATTCATATGCATCAGTGTGTATATTTTTTTAAAAAATAATTGTTTTCTGTGCTTATAATATCATGAGAGTATTCTTGCTGTTGGCATGTTTGTAGAACATGAGTAAGAACAGCAGAAGAGTGAAACCTCTCTCTGGAAGATTTAGGAGTAGATAGTCTGTGTTCCACAGACGTTCTTTAAAAGCCCTCTTGTCCACTCAAGCTACAGAGAAAAGATGTCAGGTTGTGCCAAGAAGTTGTATTTTTTTTCTTGATGTAGATGTATTAGGAGGAAAACAAATTTAAATACATAACTAGGGGAAGATGATAAGGGGGAGTGGACAGGAGAAAAGGGGAAGGAGGCCGGGTGTAGAAAAATGCTGTTCTGAAAAGGCTGGGTGAGATAAAAAGGTTGTAGCAAACACCTGGTTGGTAGAAGGCACGTGAAATGTTAAGCTCTAATACTCATTTACTTTCATTTATAGCTCAAGCTAATGCTGTGCTTCAGTCATTCTTGAGAATTAGTGCTTGAGCTGATCAGATTGTGACGTTGTGTGCCATATGTGCTGGCAGAAAGCAGTATATTGGGATGGACCAAAGACACAGCTTGAGCTCTAATCTTGAGTTTTCCTGCTGTTCTTTGCTTTTTAATTATTATTATTTTTATTTATACACGTACACACACATATACTACTGGATGTCAGAAAACTGATATTTCGTAGGGGGTGATGTGTAAGCCTAGGTATATTTATTATTTCCTTACAGTGTTATAGTGTTGCTTATTATTTTGACAGTATAATGCTTATAAGAGGAGTCTGAGCTTATCAGCCTAAAAAAACATAAATTAAGTGAAAATCTTCTCTAGTAGGTTTACTGTTAGTTTCTAGCTATTTGTCCAATGGGAGCGTGTTGCTCTGACAGCAAATGCACACTAAATATTTTCATAATATTGTTAATGTATGAGCTTATTGATGTACTTCAAATCTTCTTCAGAAGTTCAGTATCCAAACTATGTTTGGATATTATATTTTTCTTGGAAGGACCCCGAATACGGAGGGTGCCGGTCATCCTTTATTCTAATTTCTATGGGCAATATAAATAAAGCAAATGAAGTTAATTGTCAGAGTTGGCAAAGGCTTTATTTTCAGGACAAACCTGTTATTTTAAAAGTACAGTGGAAAATGGAAGACAACTTCTTGCAGATGCTAGATTTTACTTAATGTAGTTGTACTCTTAAGCAAAGTACTGGGTGTGATGCTCATTTCCCCATCAATAGAGTATATAAATAATTAATGTTAAGACAATCTTGAAGCTATGTAGCGTTGCTTCCTCTTTAGACTTGAGTCCAATAGATTGAAAAGAAACCTGGACTTGGTGCTCCTTTCTTCAAAGGGGGTCTTTGTCTGAATTTTTCCAGTAGTTTTCTGACGGGGAGTCTCAATATAGCTTTGCCGAAGTTTTGCTTTGTCTTTTGGTGAGGAAGTTAATTTAGATAAAAACCACCAGTGCCATAACGCATAATAAAAGAGAAATGCGTTAGATGAGGCTGGGAATTAAGATGTTAATGCTAAACTGCTGGTTAAATTAGTGTTGATATTTTCCTTCTGTGTATAAGAGTAGGCTTGAATTTTAATCAGGGATCAAAACCCCATATCCAATTCCCAAAGGGGGAAGTTGAAACAGTGGTAAAGCATAAGGAAAAAGCATCTTTCTACAAGTTCTGGCTTTGGATTTGTGTGTCCATCTGCTTTTTTTCAGATTTTAATTTTTTTCCTTTGACTTCACTAGCTGAGAGTGGGCGCATGGTCTCTGGGTGTGTCTTTCATGAGACCCATCAAAATACTTGGTGACAAGTATTCTTCTGCAACTAAAATGAGAACTAGACCCAGCCATTTTTAAAAAGAAGTTAGGCCGTTTCATCTGGCACAATTAGGTCTCTGTTGTTCCAAAAAAAACTGCGCTGCTATAATAAAATGCTTTCCTAGTCAAACGTTCTGGCAAAAACTTACTTGGAAAAAAGTTGGCATGAGGAAAATGGAAAACGTGGGGATTTAGACAAAGTAATACAAAACCTCCTCTTATCAATGCCTAATTTTTTGTATCCCTTCAAGTTCATTAGCCTTGGTTTATGATGAGCTGTGCGAAGTTTCACTGGAGCACTTGTCTCTTCCTCTCTTCTCCGGTAAATAATTCATTTCTTGTTAATACTTTGAGTCTCTTATTTGGATCATTCAAACTTACTCTATCTGTTCTTTTGATTTCTTATTGCCAGTTTCTGTGCATCTTTCCTACTGTGAGAGAGTGAACTAGCTTGTGGACTCCAGTTTTCCAAGGCCAAGGTATCTGGAGTCTGCATCATCTCTCCAGCTTCTCTTGGGAGCTGTGTTAGCTGCAGTTGGTTCTCCTTCGGCATCGTAGTTGCTAGATTTCCACATATGTAAATGGTTGCATGAGGGAGTTAAGAAGTATTTTTATTTCCCCTTTTGAATTTAGAGGGGGGGCAGCTGGGGTGACTATACCATTGCTGTGGACATCTTGCTCTGTATGGTCATCTCCCTTTATTCATTTTTCTGATCACTGTTATTCTACTGTCTCTCCTTGTTTCTGGGGATGTTGCCTCCTGCTGATGGTTCATCGCTGACTCTGGCTTCCCTGTTCTTTGGTGCGCTCTCGTAACCAGTTTAAGTCAGGTTAAAGCTTTTGCTGTAAGTTCCTTGTGTCCGTGGGGTGAACAGCTGTTTTGTTTGCACCCAGATGAGAGGAGTGGTCTGGCTCCCTGGTGGGTGCTGTGGAGCAGCTGGGGACTTGTGGCTGAGCGCAGGGGGGAGAAGAGGGACCAGCCCTGTCTGCAGTAACAGGGGCTTAAACGGGGCTTTACCTGATGGGAAGCTACACCCTTGGAGCTGCTGGCTTTTTTTGAAGAACTCATGGTGAGGCAATGCTATGTGTTATAAGGTTTCTCCACACATCCCCAGATATTTTTCAGCAGATCAGTTTGGGAACTACAGCTGTAAAATCTTTTTAATGATTAAAAAAAAATAAAAAAATTGAACAGCTTCTACTTTAAGTCAGACTTAAGGAACTACTCAAGACTTAGCCAGAAGCAGAATTTATTTTAGGTTTTCTAAAAGAAGTACATGCTATGGCTTTCCTTGGAGGAATTGTGTTGCAGAGGAGCTTGGACGTTGTATCCACGGGAGCTTTAAACAAGCTGCCTGCTGGCGGCCAGGGCCTGGGCCTGTCCCTGCCCCGGCTGCATCTTCCCCCTCTGCCCTTCTGCTGGCTGGAGAGCTCGTTAGGCCGTTCAGCCGCCTCGACACGTGAGTCAGTGGAAGAGCTAACCCGATGACAAAAGTGAGGAGTGCTAAGGACGGGTCAGGAACGCGCAGCTGGAGGCGGGCGGATGAGTGACACTGGCAGTCAGCGGTCAGGCTGGCTTCGGCCACCTGGGGTTTGCAGCTTCAGATCCTTCACAAAGCATCTAGACGGACATAGGTGTCTTTATAAGGAGCAATGAAAAGCCCTGGCTTAATTACCATGCACTGCTTCAGAAAATGTCTTAGGAGCCAAGAACATATCTAGGGATACATAATTCCAAAGCAGCCAGGAAAAGGACTCTCAGCAAAAGAGAAAACATGCAATAAATTACGTTTTCTTAGGGAAACGAATGGCTTAATTACCATGCACTGCTTCAGAAAGACACATAGGTGTCTTTATGAAGGAGCAATGAAAAGCCCTGGCTTAATTACCGTGCACTGCTTCAGAAATGGGGTAGGAGGAGACTGCGCTTGTAGTGTGCTGTGCTTTTTGTATGTGTTAGAAACATTTAAGTTGATATGTAAAATCTCTAGAGAATGGCATAGTAAGTGGCTCATTTCTATGCTCTTTGAACTGCACTGTTTGCATTTCAGAAAGGAAAATTTTACATATTGCAGACTTGGTAACCACAATATTTTCACACTGCAGGAGGAGTGATTTCTTGGTAGATTTGTTTATCTGGGCCCCTGTATATGCATAGGACAGAAAAAAAAAGATCCAGATGTTTTGTTAGGTCTTAATTGTGGCTTCATAATCAACCTCTTAAAATCAATTTCCTGATCTTGTCTATTTAATTTTTGTAATACTACAATATTCTGTCTTGTAAAACTGTATTTATTTTTTTTTTTTTAGTAGCCAACATTTGTTAACCAAGCATAAAATAAGTTCTTGATCATAGCCAAAATTCTGTCTTCTTTTCCCTTTTAGGCTGCCATCATGACGGCTGAAGAAACGGTGAATGTAAAAGAAGCAGAAATAATTAAATTAATACTAGATTTTTTGAACTCAAGGAAACTTCATATTAGTATGCTGGCGCTTGAGAAAGAAAGTGGGGTCATTAATGGCCTGTTTTCAGATGACATGCTTTTTCTAAGGTAGGACTTCTTTCTCTGGTGCTTAAATACCACATATATGAGAACAAACAATTGGACTGTGATTCTGTGGGCTGCTCCGTGCTGCTAAACAGGAGGCCTTACAGCCTCATTGTGTTCTGTTTCTTCCTGATCCCAATGCTGTGGTTCAGCTCTGAAGGTAATGACCTCCTTCTACGAGCCACTTGAAGTAACTGACTATATGTCATCACCATAGGCTGAGTTAGATTTTTTGTTGTTGTCGTTTGCTTGTTCATTCATTTTAGCTTGGTTAGTTTTCAGGCATGCTGATGAATTAAAGTGGGACGGAGTCTTAACAAGTGCCAGTGTGAGCGCTGGGCAAGTCAGGAAAGCACATGAGCAGCAGTAGGATGAGGGAACAAGATCTGTTGGCAGCAGTGATCTGTTATTACCTGTTTACCGTGTCACATGGAACTAAATGTGTAGTTTATTAACTTCTAAAATAAATAAAATATTTTGACAGTATTCTAGTGCTATGATCTAGGATGAGTGGATTCCAAAGTTTTTTCCCCCAGATATTATCTGCATTTCAAAATAATACCTAGATTTCTCTTAAATTTAAAAATATGAAAGGGGTCTCTGGTATCAGCAAGGCATGAGAGTTGGTGTGATTTACCATTCATGATATTGCCCTCAAAATTATTAAAAGGAGTCGCTGTAGATGCACACTAGTGTTTTAACATTGCTGTTTTCTATTTCATGCCAAAGGTACTTAATAACTTTCTAGAGGCATGAGAAAATTATTTTTTCCAGCTGTTTGTTAAACATTAAAGAAATGCATTTTACCACTGAACAAGATTTCTCGCCTGGCTTCCCTTTTGATTAAAATTATGGTTATTGGTATAAAATTAAGTAAAAGAGGAATTAAAGATTAAGATTATTTGTTTCATTCTTTTCTTAGTTGGCATATACATCTAATGAGAAACTCACCCCTTCCTTATAGAACCGGGCCTTTTATATGAGGGTATGAAAAAACTAATCCACTTGTGCAGTCAAGCCAACTGGACTTGGAGTTGGAGCTCTTGTGCTGGCATAGTTCCTGCCAAGATGTTCTTTTACATTGTGGATGTGGGAGCTGTGTGTTTTCCCACCTCCCTTTCACAATAGGCCCAGCAGTATTTGTACAATTAAAATTAACTCATCTTTAAGTTTGTTTTCATTCTTCAGGATGTATTAATTGAATCAATATGTTTATTTGCACTCAAGATTTTTTAAAAAAAAAAGAATTACAGGTAAAGCAGGAGACACAGGACCGTTTTGTCCTTTTTGATGTGCCTTTACAAGTAATAAATATTTGTCCTTCCAGTATGCAGTTATTTTTACAAAATACTGAGAAAGGACTTGGATTTTGCTTTTATTACTAGTCACATCAGAGAGTCATCTTGGCATCTGTCCAAAGCATTCACTTTTCAAAGCAGGCTGATTACTGGTTGTGTATTTAAATGACTGTTGTGTATTTAAATGAGCTGCTTACTTAGAAGAAGAATGTTCTTGTCCAGTGAAATTAAAGCAGTGACGTTCTTTTACCAGGCAATTGATTCTTGATGGTCAGTGGGATGAGGTTCTTCAATTTATTCAGCCTCTTGAATGTATGGAAAAATTCGACAAGAAAAGGTAAAAAAGAATGTATGTCAGAGTTGAATTTTTTGAGTTGTGGAAAATGCATGAATTTCTAAGTATTGCCTATGAAAGCACAAGTTCTAAGTTTTTCTAACCAATATACGGTTCCTAAAGTATTTGAATGTGTTTTTTTAACTTAAACTATCAAAAATATATGCACAGAATCTGTAATGAGTTTTCATTTGCAATACACTTTAGGAATGTAGTGCATGTTGTACTATCTTTTTATAGTTGGCTGTTCTGTCATATTTCTAATCAAGAAATGAATATGGTTGCTATGCTTTTTCTCTTATTAACCTTCTAATATTTTAATGTAATATTTCTGAAAGCAATTATTGGAAAAGACATTTCCTGTTAAAAAATTCTGTGGTTACCAATTTATTAAAATTTGAGATCAGAGTTCCTTGTCATTGCAATTTCTATGTCTAACTCAAAAATTAGCTGTAAAATACCTGGCTTGTCTCTTTAAGATAAAGTTTAGCTACTGGATCAAGATGTATAGTATTTCACTTTTCACCTGCAGATTTCGTTACATTATAATGAAGCAGAAGTTCTTGGAAGCCTTATGTGTAAACAATGCGATGTCAGCAGAAGATGAGCCTCAGCATGTAAGAGTTATCTCTGGTTTGGGAATTTTTTTTTTTTTTAAGAAGCCTCTCGAGATACTCAGATCAAAGGCAGAGCAGAAGCTCCCAGCACTGAATACACAAATTTTAGCTATTACCAAATAGTTTTATAAACAATGGAAAAAATAATTGGTATCCTTTGGAAATGAATGGGGATCCGAGGTCTCAAACAGAATTGTATATACAAGGCTTGCTTGAAACTTAGCAGCATAGATCAGTGACCATGTGCCACATTTGTGGTCCTGATCCTGGGATTCACTTTAAGCCATCATGCTGAAGTACAGGGCTCTCTTTTTCAAAAGTGTTCTGAAGCAAGCCTCAGAGTCACAGAAATTTATTGTCATAATTGGGACCAGGTGAAAGATTCTTATTTGAATTAATCTTAAACTTCATTTCTGTTGCTTTTAGAGAGAAAGGACACAGTTGTTTCTTTGGAGGGAACAGATGCGTTCACAAAGGACTGATTCAGTTAAATGGGCAAAGAGCATGAGTTGTGAACTTAGGTTTGCAATACGGAAAGAGACATTAACTCAAACTGGCAAAGAGGGTGTGCAGATTGTGAAATTAATTATTGTTTTTCATTTATGGAGATAATACAGGAATACCAAATTGCTAACACAAAAATGATATGAAATTAAAAATTAAGAATGCCAGTAGTTTTAAGACTATTTTTTTTCATTTCCCAAACTAGCGTTTTCATTTTAATTCTCTGTCCCGTTACACCTACATTGTACTGCGGGGTCTTCTCTTCACAGTGTAGAGAAGGCTAAAAGTAAGTCTTTATTTATAGTTGTAAAGGGAAGGTGTACTATTCCTCTCATCACTAAATCCGTATACTGTTACTAGATAGCAGCAGAGGAAAAAAAATTAGATTTATGTCCTTTACATTTTGTTTTGAATGTTACCAAATGGGTTGGCATGTTGAGGATGAAAGGCTGCTGTATTGAGCAGATGCTAAGGTAACATGGGTAAGTGGGTGTTTTTATTATTTTTTAAATCTTTGTAACTAAAAGCGCCACGTTATGTGCATTTAACATGGTTTTTGGCTTTTAGCTATCAACAAGCTTTGTACGAAAGCCTGTTCATTTGGAGTCATAAGTCAGTTGGCTTTGAGAATAGAAACAACCTTCTCTGTTACAATAGAATTAAAGCTGTTTAGCTACAGAGTTAAATTTTAAGCTTATCAAACCTGCAGTGCCATGAAGAAGTTCCATAGATCAGTAGAAGATGAGACTGGGTGGGGGATTTTAGGAAGTTAAAGCATGCCTGTTGTAACTAGATTTGTGTCAGCAATTTCCAAATCTCTATTGTATGCTCTTTTAATTAAAATATAAACAGTAGTAGTACTACAGGAATTATATCGGAGAAATTCTGCTACTGCATGTTCTTCTTCAGCTAACTTTGTCATAGAAACATGTGTACTACAAGCTATTGTGTTCATGTCAATGTTTCTGTAGCTGGAGTTTACCATGCGAGAGGCTGTACAGTGCCTACATGCATTGGAAGAATACTGTCCCTCTAAGGAAGACTACAGTAAACTCTGCTTGCTGTTGACGCTGCCTCGCTTGACCAACCACGCAGAATTCAAGGACTGGAATCCCAGCACTGCACGGGTTCACTGCTTTGAAGAAGCCTGCATCATGGTGGCAGAGTGATAGGAAACTGAGTGAGGCTGGCTTCAAAGCAAGTAGCAATCGTTTATTTCAGCTTGTAATGAAGGGATTGCTTTATGAATGTTGTGTGGAATTCTGTCAGAGTAAAGCAACAGGAGAAGAAATCACAGAAAGCGAAGTATTGCTGGGCATTGATCTCTTGTGTGGTAATGGGTGTGATGATTTGGACCTTAGCCTGTTATCATGGCTGCAGAATCTGCCAGCTACTGTTTTTTCTTGTGCTTTTGAACAAAAGATGCTTAATATTCATGTTGATAAACTCCTCAAGCCCACAAAAGCTGCATATGCTGATCTTTTGACACCTCTTATCAGCAAACTTTCTCCTTACCCATCATCGCCAATGCGACGGCCTCAGTCAGCAGATGCTTACATGACCCGCTCCTTAAACCCTGCCTTAGATGGGCTGTCGTGTGGATTAACAAATCACGATAAGCGAGTCACAGACCTTGGGACCAAAACTTCTCCAATGTCGCACTCCTTTGCTAATTTCCATTACCCAGGAGTACAGAATCTCAGCCGAAGTCTCATGCTTGAGAATACCGAGTGTCACAGCATTTTTGAAGAGTCACCTGAGCAGTAAGTGCCACTGTAGCTTTATTGTTACCTTGGCTTATGCTGCACTTTGTATTTCTGGGTTCTTCCCTGCGTTGTAACTTTGAACATAGTTGTAACATTGAAACAGAATTTGATTGTTTAAATCCTGTTGTAATTAAAACTCTGTATACAAGGTATTTTCTTCCTTAGGCTTTCATGATCGAAGTAGATTTTCATATTTGGTCTTGAGCCTTATAGATTCAGTCTGGATTTTATTAAAGTTGAAATCTGAGTGCAGAGCGCAAATATGCTCTGATTATGTAATAGTAGAGTCTAGCTAAGATTTGTGTTCAATATTACTGAATTCTTTCATTCCAGATAAATAAATGGAGACAGTGGAATAGCTGTAGCTCCATCTTCTTTCCCCATCCTATTCTGTCCTCAAGTGTCTGTAAATTTTGGTCCCGACACTGTAAATGATCAAGTATACTTCAAAAATTTACATATAGAAATAGTCCCAGTGAAGTCACAGGAAATTACTATATGCTATCATTGTAGCATTCCTCTGTCACTTCAATTATTGCACTAGTAGTTCAGCTTATATATTTACTTACCATTCTCCAAACCAAATCTGAATAAGGTGGCTGAATGTTTTATGTTTTTGTCTTGGACTTGGAGGTAGTTTGGTTATGATAGTGGTGAATGCTGTTAATAACTACTTCTAATGCAGTGTAGCAAAACTGACTTCTCTCCTTCCTTAAGAACTAAAGCCTGCATCAAAATGTTGTGCTTTTTACCTTCTGAGAGAAAAGTCCTGGTAACTAGGAGAAATGGTACTTGTCAGTTAAGAGCTTATCATGGTTTTGTGTGGGCTTTATTTTGGTCAGCAGTTCTGCCCCTTTCTAAGTGTTAGATGCACGCCTGGAAAGCAGCTTCCAGGTTTTCTGGCTCTTAGAGGACCAGCTGGGTAACTAGCACTGTGCTCAGGTGCACTGGCCAGCAGAGAACACTTTTAGGGCTGTGGTGTTGAATCTTGGCCACAGTTGCTGACATTGTCTGTTACACAGAATCCCAGAATGTTAGAGATTGGAAGGGACCTCGAACGCTCATCCAGTCCAATCCCCCTGCCGGAGCAGGAACACCTAGATCAGATCACACGGGAACGCATCCAGGCGGGCTTTGAATGTCTCCAGAGAAGGAGACTCCACACCCTCTCTGGGCAGCCTGTTCCAGTGCTCTGTCACCCTCACCGTAAAGACGTTTTTTCTCATATTCAAGTTAGTTTTGCCTTATAGCAATACTCTGTATCTTGTGTTAAGGTAAAGAGAAGCTGTAACTAAACTCAATAAAAAGGAAACAAACATCACCATACTGATGTCAGTTCACCAATGATAATGGAAGTTTTTACAGTAATATATGTTTTAATACCTATCTTAATGCTTATCTTGAAAGGAGCTATTTTTTAATTCTAAATTATCTACTTCAAATCTTTATCTTGATGCTTATCTTGAAAGGATCTTTTTTTATTATTATTATTCTAAGTTACCTACTTTAAATCTTTGGTTTTACCAGCTTCTTCACAACTGGAGTTTTTGTGGATAGCTTATGTCTTTGGAAGTATCCCTTGTGTTACATTTTTTAAAAGTGTACCTCCTGAAGATACTAATGAATTGTGAATCCTCTAATTTTACTGATCTGTATGCACAAACACTTAACATTTGTGCGTGTAGCCTGGGGTCCAACGTGAAAACTGATTCTTGAAACCTTTGTTTCCCTTTTCAGTATGCATGTACTAGGATAATTCTGCACAAATGGCATTATCTTGTGGGCTAAATAAGGTGATAAGTTGCTGCAGTTCTTTGTGTAGGCATTTTCATGTGATGTTAAGTGAAGTTTATAGTTCTTAACATGTTTTTTCATTAATACATCTCTTGAAAGAATTAGCTTGAGGGGCCAGACCCATAGTTTTCAAGAAGGCATTACATTTTTCAGAAGAAAATATAACTTCAGAGGAAGTGTCCAACTTAAATGGCAATATTTGCAAGAGTAGAAGCTGGGAAGCTGACCTTTATGTAAATCTGGCCCTTGCCTCCTCTTGCACATGACTGAAATATGGTATTTCTTCTGTATGTTGCATTCAGCAAGCAATTACTTGTCTTTTAGTAAGCTAAGTTACTTTTGTTATTATACAGAGATACTAAAAAAGTTTAAAATAACTTCTTTAAGAGCTTTACTCCAAGTCACTGAGTAAAGAGGACTTGAAGTTGACAAAACTGAAGATGGGGATCTCTGAGGCCTTTAATGTGTCCTGCACACTTACTGATTGCTAAAGCATTTTGGAAAGGGCTCCATGCAGAAATAGAAATACTTATATAATACAAGAATAGTGTAATTTTTATAAACATTTTCTTGTGTGGTACTTTCAGGAATGTTCAAGTTGATGGATGTTCAATGAAGTTTAAATTTAGATTGGTAATGGTAATTAAACTAGTATTTACAGAAGACATTAGTCACAAATATATGTGATACCTTCCATGAACATAACTGCTTTGAAAATAGGAGATCTTGAATGACTTGTTAGATAAAGGGTATATAATTCAAGTGTAGGGATGGAAAATGTGGAATATGGATATCCCATGTTGATAAGGCTTTTTGGAAAATGTGGGAACAAAGCACACTGGCTGTCTGTGCTTTTTGTTTGTTAAGGGGTTTACTTGGTTTAGTGCAACCCATTGCAAATGGTTTTTTTTTTTCCGAAGGGGTATCTTCAGTTTTATGTGACTTAAGTAGTTAAGACACTTGTGTTATCAGATTTTACTGTGGAGTGTTATCTTTCTCTACTTATCAGGGGATTTTCTCCTCTTAATTTTTCTCAATTAAGCTTCTCTTCTTTTCCATGTTGCTGCAAGAAGCGATACTCCCGTGGAGCCCCAGCATCCCATCAGCGGTGAGACTTTGTGCCAGAGTTCCGTTCTAGCCAATGAACCACTTCATGGAGCACAGAGTCAGGCAGCAGCCAAACAAGAGAAAAATGAGGTAGTGGCTGTGTGTTTAAAAATAATGAGGCCCTTTGAGCTGTGTTCTGATCACTTCATAATGATTTGCCTTTGTGTTGACAACTTCATGCATGACAATGGGTTGCTTTGAATCCTGTTTTTACTATAGTGGAAATACCATATTGCATCTTGTATAAGAAGCTACTCCTTTTTTTTCCATTCTATAAAGTTCTTTTGTCATTTGACTCTGTGATGCAGCTGATTAGTGTGCCTTCTAACAGCAGTGTTGCTGAGCTGTTGTGTATATCGTCATAAAAAAAAAATGCTTTGCAATACTCAAAGCCAGCAATGTTAGATTAAACAATGCTTAAGAATCCTCTTAGTGTTTGAGTGAGGAATCTGGCATGTCGCTTGCAATTTTTAGTGTTAACACCGAGTTTCGTAGGTCATCTTACATCATTTTCTGTCTAGAACACAGAGAAATGAAAATTGGGTAACTCCCTAGTAAGTGTATCTTTTCTATTCAGAATCCAACAGCATAACCTTTTTTTGGATTCATCTTTGAAAGCTTCTGCCTTGACTATCCTTTTTTTCCCTTTTTCCTCCTTAACAGCAATATGGGAAAGTGAAATAATAGTTCAGTAGGAAACAATGAAAACAGTTACCTATTCTGTTCTTTTTCCACAGTTTTAAATGTCTCTTACTTCAATAATGATGGATAACATAGAGCATGCAGTCTGTTTTGTTTGCAGTCTCCAGTGTGATTCTCTTAAGTAAACTTTGTCTTTGCTTATGACATCTATATGGTACTGAAATCCCGTCTAGCCTTGACAGGGCTATATTCTTGTAGACTCTGGATACTTGAGTGAGGCAACGCGGCCTGCTGGAGGGCTAACAAAGTCCTCCAAATCTGAGGACTTCGCTCCCCTCAGGGACTTTGCTGAGTAACTTCTGTGCTGCACAGTTTTGTGTATGCGTTTTGGGAATACGGTGAAGGAGGAAAGAGCTTAGCTAGATGTGTAACAGAGGAGGCTTCAAAAGGCAAAAAAATGGACACAGAATTTGTGGGAGAGAGTGAAGACAGGACATGCTGTGCTGTAGGTGAAGACGTTGGCCAGAGTATTATACACAACTAGAAAAAAAAAAGTAGTACCCAGTCCAATTTCACCTTGGTTTGTTTTCCACATTGTAGTGGAATATGTGTATACCTGTGCGAGTGAGGAATTAATTTAAGTTTCTTTTCATAGCTTTATTTTTTGCATTGTTCCTGGAAGGACTGGGTTAGAAGCCAGCATTTGTAGTAGAAATCATCTGGGCAATGTATTTTAAGTTTAGGTGTTAGTTTGGGTAATAGTGTCACAGAATCCAAAGAATCAAAAGTTTGAATCCAATTGCAACAAACAAGCATCAGTCATGGAAAGAAGTGTAGAGAAGAATGTAGCTGTTCTTAGAAGAATTATAACCCAGTAACTAGGGAACAGCTCACGTATTTGAAATACAGAGAATAAATGCTTTCTAGACTTCTGAAGATAACTTTGCAGTTCCTACATTGCAAGTATTCATCTTAGGAAACCTAAGGTGGTAAACTTTATACAAATGCAACAGTGCTAGGAAATTCATTATAAACCAAAAAAGCATTGTTTCAGAGAACACAACATCATAATTCAAGTATTTTTATTTAGACGTGCAAAGGCTCATAGTTGTGAAGAAAGATCCTCTGCATGGATTATCTGAACAAACACAAAGTTATCAGGATTTCCAATTTAGAATCACTAGATGACAAAGATGTCACTTTTGCAAACAAACCAAAAAAACCTCTAGGGTGTTTGTTTTTTCTTTCACTATTTTTTTCCTACTAGTTGGTAAATATGCAGGTTTTTTCTTTAGAAAATGCACAGCACTTCAGTGTTGATGTCTTGGCCTTGGACTAAATTGCTTTTGGTTTTCCGTAGGGTATTTTTGTTTGTTCATTTTTAACTTGTTCTCAGCTGTTCTGTGAGGGTGGAACTTGGAACTAGTGGCCTGAAGAGAAAGTGAGGATCGGGGAATGCAGAAGACAGGGAGTCCTGGGGAGCTGTCAGTGTGGGAAGCTAAAGATAGTATATAAAACTGTATGAGAAAGGAAGCTCAAGTATTTGTCTTTGGTCCAGAAAATAAGGAATTTTAAAGTTAGAACAAAGCACTAATTTCAAAAGTCAGATGAAGCTCTTCGCTAGACCACTTCAAGGTTGGCTACTGGGAGAGGGAAATCTGCTCTGCAGACTCATAGCAAGGAGCTGTCGAAGTGGCAGAAAATAATAAATTCATAGTGAAAATATGACTGGGAGTTAGGAATGTAGCTTACATTGTTTTCTGATTTTTATTTTCAGGTTCCGATCACCTATATGTTTTTATGTTAAGTCACACTTTGGAAGTTGTGTAGGAAAGTGCAGTCTCCTGAATTACAGCAGAACTAATTCAACAGTGAATAGCACAGGCTGGCACTGATTTCCTTTTTTAATACGTAAATTGATTCTGGTTTTAAGGAAGAATGAAAGCATTGCTCCGCAGAGGAGAATCTGATGACCTTTTAATGCTTGCATTGAAATAACAAACCAGAAAGTGAATATTTAGGTTAAATACCACAATTTAATTTTCATCTGTAATTCTCATTTCTTTTCAGCTTCGTGATTCTACAGAGCAGTTTCAGGAGTATTACAGACAAAGACTACGTTACCAGCAGCACTTAGAACAGAAAGAGCAACAACGACAGTTGTACCAGCAAATGTTGTTGGAAGGAGGTGTGAATCAAGAAGATGGAGCTGACCAGCAACAGAATCTTACCGAACAGTTCCTCAACAGGTTGGAGGGTTTTGTTGATTCTCCCCCACCCACTCCTGTCCCTCTTCAAGTTCTCATAATAACCAGTTTTTTTCTTGTTTTGTCATTTGTTATTAGATCTATCCAGAAACTAGGAGAATTAAATATAGGTATGGACAGTATTGGAAATGATGTACAAACACTTAGCCAGCAATGTAATGGGAGCAAAGGGAACGCATCTACCAATCCAGCAAGTAACTTTACATCACTACCTTCAGATTCTAGTCAGAGGATAACAGCTGAGAGCCAAAATGTTAGTACAAGCACTCCTCGAATGCGTGGATCAGCTAATCAGATACCCTTTCCTGAAGAGTCACCTGTACAGGGGAATCAAAAGTAAGTTATTTGAGTCTGTTCAGGACTGGAAAAATCCCTCTGTTAGCACTGTGGGAGTAGCTGTTTGCATATTTTTTTTTTATGTTATCAAATGAATTTGTTACTGACCAGGACTATTTAGCTCATAATCAGTGTTTTTTCTATATATTTTATAGGTATTATAAAATCCTTTTTTTTTTTTTTGGCAGCACACATGAGAAATAGTGGTTATTTGTTATGGTTTATACTTTATGCTTAATTTCAGATATTTTATTTCATCTTACATGTACAGTTCTTGTTTATTTTGTGTTCAAAGTTTCTGAAAGGTAGGTTTTTTTATGAAATACAAACTAGATTGAGAGAGAGGCAGGACAGAGTGGGAACTGGATTTCTTCTGTTAACTAAAGGTAGTGCTGACCTGAAAGCAACAACAGTTTTTCAATGTATGTGTGTATATATGTGTATACATATGTATGTTATGGAATGAAAACAAATACTTTTAACTTGCAGTCACTTGTTCAATGCCTGGAGTTGCTGCAAAAATAGCAATCCCTTGTAAAAATAATAGTTTATGTTAAAGAATTGGACACATAACACTTGTCTACACAAATTAATCAGTTCTGAGAATGACTGAAATTCTAACTTTAGTCCAAAAAATACTTACAAACAAATCTGTCCCTGCTCTTTTTTTTGTTTTGTTTTTGTTTGTTGTTTTTTTTTCTGTCTTGTGAATTTAAACTCTTCACCAAATCAAAACAGTGTATCAGAACATGCTGTCACTCAGGCACAGTTGGAAGACTCTTCAGGGAATTTAACTAGGACGAGAGGCGACGAGGTGAGCTTTCTTATTGTCCTTTACAATTTGTGTTTTCACAAGATCCGATAGTTACTCCTGGTAGGTGACATCCTCTCATTGTTAACAGATATTTTGAATGAGTTTGGTACAGTGCCTCCAGAATCACAAAACCGTTGAGATTTGAAGACTGAGTCCAAATCCACTGCTCAAAGAAGGGTCAATGAGAGCAGATTGCTTGGGGCTGGCTCCATTTGGGTTTTGAGTATCTCTAAGGATGGAGACTCTGCAGCCTCTGTGGACAACCTGCTCCTGTGTCTGACCACCTTCGTAGTGTTTTTAAAACAACAAAAAAGTTTAAATGGAATTTCCTAAATTTCAATTTGTGTCCATTGCCTCTTGTCCTTTCACTGGATACCACTGAGAAGAGTCTCACTCCATCTTCTTTGCTCCTCCTGTCAGGTGGTTATGTACACTGATGAGGTTCACACGCACGCACCCTGAAAAGCCCTTCTGATCTCAAGGCCAAACAGTCCCAGCTCTCTCAGCTTCTCCTTGTGCAACAGAGTTTCCAGGGGGATGTCTTTTGCAGCCATTGTTTTGTGTTTTCCAGATTGAAACTTTGATTGTTGGACTCCAGTCAGTGTGGCCTGACTGCAGAGAAATAACTTTACAATCAGTACATTCCAAAGTTTCTGCATCAGATAAATAAATATCAAAATTCTAGAAGGGTGGAGATGAAGTTGTGAGGAAGAGGATATAATAAAGCTTAGAATAATTTAATGATAACTTTGTGTTATCTACAGGGTGAAAAGCTGATTCTTATGTTTAGTATTATATTTTTTTATAAACTGTATGTGTCACTTGAACTGCTTTCAGTAAAAATGCAGCTTTGTTTGCCTTGCACGTTTCACACAGATCAAATGTGTTTACACAGAAATAAACTGTAATATCATGTGTCTGAGATGGACTGTTCAGAAGAAGAAGAGCTGTTGGAAGCCTGGAGGGAGAATGAGAAATGTTAATCTAACATTAGCTGTAAAACTGAATTGAAGAAAATAGCTTATTGAAGTATGCTATTTCTTGACCTGGAGCAGATGTTGTTTTGCAAATCTGTAATTTTAATAGTTTAGCCTGGTGCTGCTACTTATTAATACTTTGGTACAATAATTTTATGTTATTTTGCAAAACAGTCACATCCATTTTTAAATGTCCAGTTTAATGCCCAAGAACCTAATTTGACTGTTATCCTTCTATACAGGATGACAAATCAAAAAAGCAGTTCATTTGCATTAATACTCTAGAAGACACGCAAGCTGTCAGAGCTGTAGCCTTCCATCCCAGTGGGAGTTTATATGCTGTTGGCTCCAATTCTAAAACTTTGAGAGTTTGTGCCTATCCAGAAGTAATTGACCCAAGGTAAGAAAGCTTGTGTAATTGTTTCTTTTTCTGTATCATAGCGCTTTCTCCTGTAGGTACTGGTATGTGTACATCTCATACCTGTATTTTGTTGGTGTAAATAGTGCAATGCTCTCCTTGGAAACCTGAACTGCCAAACAAAAATAAGATCTGCTGAAGAATTTGTAAAGAGAGCTACTTTTTTGCTCTCTTCCCTTACTGGCAAGTTGCATTGCCACAATACCATACCTCTCCTTATAAAAGTGTCGCAGCCGGTGGCCTTTTCAGTGTGTGCTGTGACTTCTGGTTTTGATGTTCCAGCTGTAAAAGTGGGAGAAAGCATGTGTCAGTTCCCAAGCCAGCAGAAGTTGAGCTTCATGAGGTACAGTTTCTGGCAGGACAACAGACTTAACAGTAGAAAAAGCAGCATCTTCTTCACTTTTTACAGAAAAATTTGACAGAGCATGTGTATTGGCCCATTGTTGCTAGAAACATTGTCTTCCTCATGCTTTGGTTCCTTGACAGAAGCAGCACTATTTGTTGTTTACTATGCACTTGATCTTTTCTTTTCACCCACTTTTTTTTAATAAGAGGAGGAAAAATTTTTTTTCACCTGGAAATAAATATTGCCATGTCAATAACCATCCCCTTTCTCTGCTCCAGTTATATTATTGTCTTGGAGTAGGGGAGAAGTGCAGGCATCTAAAACTTCAGTTTCAGAAGGAGCTACAAGTGTGCACAGTGACTTTATCTGGGATACCTTCCCAGTTCAGGACTCATATTCAGGCTTCTGAAGTGTTCAAAAAGTAATCTGATTTTTTTTTTCTTTTCCTCTTTAAATATCATCAGTAAGGTAGGCTTTGAAGTTTAAGTCCAAAGTATTTATTGGCAATGTATGAAACAAACAAAAAAATAGTTGATTTCTCCAATACCGAATGCAAGCTGCCTTGCTGGGCTTGAAGCCCAGACAACCTCCTCTGGATTGGTACACAGTGCTAAACATTTTCAGTGGAATGGATGCTTCTTTACTGACAAACTATGGTCTGCTCTCACACAGCTTGTTATTCTAACCATTGGGAAAGGTTAGACTGACTCTGAAGTTTTCACCTCTGGTTACAGTGCATGATCCGATGTGATAAGTGACATAGTGCATCTGGATATGGAAGGAACACTGAGATTTCCTTAATTCTGAACTTGTACTTCTTCCTCTTGTTGTGTTTTTTCACTATGCTTACAGTCTGCCAAAAACATTTCATCATGGGATTTACAAGTCAGCAGAGAGATTACATTATCTTAAAGATATTCTAATCTTTGTAACAAGGCCTGAGTCTAGACACACTCTAAATTTTTTGCGTTTTTCAGAAAGCTATAAGAAAACTGGATATTTTTCTTCTTTTTTTTTTTCCCAGTGCTTATAATACTGCTAAACAAGCTGTAGTTCGCTTCAAAAGGAACAAGCATCATAAAGGATCAATCTACTGTGTAGCCTGGAGTCCCTGTGGACAGCTGTTAGCTACTGGTTCTAATGATAAATATGTGAAAGTACTGCCTTTTAACGCGGAAACTTGTAATGCAACAGGTAGTGTCTGTGCATTTAGTTTAAAGAATTTAGTCTTAATTATTTGCCCAACATGTGACAAAACCATTCAAATTCCATTGATTATGTAGTTAATGTTTTGCTATTTTTAATTCTAATACTTTGATTAACCTAGTTGCTTTTCCCTTTCACCATGACTGTAGTCTCTGTCCAGTGAAGAGCCACAAAGGGGTTGGGGATTACCTTTTGGGTTTTGTTTGGTTTGGATTTTTGTTTGTTTGCATTTTGTTTTTGTTTTGCAAGACTCTCTGGTACTGTGCTCTTCTGGTAGATTTTTTTTTTTTTTTCCCCTCCAGATGTGGTAGAACAACCAGATGTTCTTGCCCAACTCTAGTTCTTGACTGTCAGTAGGAATTTATTTCCGCTTCCAGGTCCCCTCTTTCTTGCCTAGTTCTGTCATCTTCTACCCTGTCTTAGAAGTCTAAGGCTTCTCTCCCAGCAAATACTATTTTCCATGCCCAGCCCTCCTAATCAGTACACTGAACATGGCTCTTTTCTGTTTTAAACTTAGGATACATTGTTCTATGTGGTTCAGTGTTCTCAGTGATTCTTCCCTTCTGGCAGAGAAAGCCTTTTTAGTTTACAAAAAGAAAGAAATGTACTCTCTAAACTCTGGCTGGACCTAGCCGTGGAGATAGTCTGTGTAGCTTTTGCAAAGCTTTAGGGAACTGTAGGAAGCTCAAGCAACTCTCAATAAAAATAAGATTCTTACAGATTTGATTTGAAGTCTAGTAAATGAAATAGTGTGTTCTATGGAAAGTACACACCAATGTTTAGACTTGGTAGTATACCTGCCCCTGTCTAAAATATTGTGTTAGCACTGTAGCTGCTTTAAAGATTGTAGGACTAGCAGTGATAAAGAAAGTAGGCCTCATTTTGTTCCTCAATTTATTTTTTTTTAAATTCTTTTAGGACCAGATCTGGAGTTCAGCATGCACGATGGGACAATAAGAGATCTTGCTTTTATGGAAGGCCCAGAGAGTGGTGGTGCTATTTTAATAAGTGCTGGAGCAGGGGACTGTAATATTTACACAACAGACTGTCAGCGAGGACAAGGCTTGCATGCTCTCAGTGGTCACACTGGTATGTAAGTTGTTGCTTCTCTCTTGCACTTTTTAAGTCTGTATTGTGTTCTAATCAAGTTGTTGGTTTGGTGGTTTTTTTTAATGTCTTTCTCGTTTTCTTTCTAGCAAGGCTTTTTTTCTCTCTCCAAATTGCTGTAGGTATTTGGGCAGGGGGTGTTTGTTTTTAAATATATCAGCTGTTAATTTAATGGAGAGAGTGCATGCTTCGTTGCAGAGAAGATACAGCGCTGGGTGTTGCCTTATGCGGTTGGCATCTTAGGTCATGCAACATGCAGGTTTTCCATAGGACTGTTAAATCTCTGAGTGCAAAAATATAATCAGAACTGTAATATTTCATGATTTGATGAATGATGTTTAATCAAATAAAGAAGTCTTCTTGTTCACAGGTCATATTTTAGCACTTTATACATGGAGTGGCTGGATGATTGCCTCAGGATCCCAAGACAAGACTGTAAGGTTCTGGGATCTGAGAGTGCCAAGCTGTGTTCGTGTTGTGGGAACAACGTTTCATGGAACAGGTAAGACTTACTATCATGCTTCTAATCATTCTTGCATAAGGATATATTTTAAAAATGTCTAGGTAATACAGAGTGAATGTAAGGGGCTTTTGCATCTGTGATGGCTTAAGCCCTTGGCTGGGGGCCAAACCACACACCCACTCACACAATTCCCCCACTCCCCCCACCCTGAGGATAGGGGAGAGAATTAAAGGG